ATACCTCAAGGACTTACTAAATTTACTCACGAGTTTAAGGCCCAATATTTACTCATTTGGTTTAAGACTCTGGAAAACTAATTTTCTATATCCGTATTTTGGAACGTGGACCGATAGATTCGAACCCATATAAAATAAGATAACCTATTTCTATGTAACTACTTCACTCACCATGTCTATAATGGTAGCATACTTATGTATGGTAACACAGCAATGTAGAACTAGAAACATAAATCGCATAAGGGCCTAAAATAACTATTTAATTTACAAAAAATCCATACAGCAGTGAAATATTATTTTTCATAGAAAAGCACTTAAAAAACAATGACTCGTTAGAAGCTACCATGTGGTAGCTGCCACATGTGTAAGACCGTATTCATTCCACTATAATAAATCAGTTGTACATACTTAGACATGCGTGGCATCTGTTCACATTTTGTAAGAGTGATTGATAGAGTTATGGCTATGCTATGGGGCACAGTTTTTACTGCTGTGGAAAATTAACTTAATTTTGAAACCAAAATAAACTGTTTAGTTGGACGAACCACCACCACTCAGTTATGCTAGCTTTTCCAAACCGCTCACAGTCATATGAGTAGCGCGCGAATCGCTGAATTGAATCGATCGATACGGTGATTCGCCTTCCTGTATCAACTCATCAAAAGCAATCGTGGTCTTGGAATCGATTTACGGGGGTCCCAACGTTAAAATTTCATACAAATAGATTTGAGCGTGTGTTTCCAGTTTATTTTACCACAGGTGGCATCAATTTTTGCTAATTCTATCGTTTAGATTTTTTTTAATGTTGCAGTAAATATTAACTGTATTCTAGATTTATTTTAAAGCTCTTATCTAAAGCCAGTAACATTTTCATATTATTCTAATCTTGTGGAATAAATATTTGTCTAGCGATTTTCTTTAAAATAAATCAATAACAAATTTGGATCATGTGTACCACATCTTATTATTGTACATGAGTTCTCTTGGCCACATTCTTTGCAAATTTGGTAATGATAAGATGTAGTCGGATAAATTCATATTTATGTAATCATCGTACATTTTGTAAGAAAAAAAGTTCCCGTACTGATGGTGGTACACAGGCTTCTTGTATTCCTTTCAGATTTTGTTGATTACTCACAACCGTACCCTCCAAGAGTTTTATTGTCTCAGTTAGAAGCATTTTAGCAGCTTACCTCTTTTTCTTCAAGTTTGTAAATCTCTTATAATTTTCTTAAAGCTTATAGTTTCTCTACGACGTTGTAGAATCAACAATCTATTAATAAGGATCTTTTCACTTAACACTTCCCCACTACGTTTCAGCTATCTGTACGCTGGTTTCTAAAGAGCTAGTGCAACGGTGCAGCATATGCATTTTACGAAGGTTATCAGTGCGTCATACACATACTACGATGATAGATTACTGGTATGATGATGATGAGGAGCTTTCTAGAAGGAGATTCAATGTGTGCTAACGGTAATGACAGTAAAGATAAAGTTGCTGGTATGAAATGTTATTAAATGCAAAGTAATGAGAATGCTTTTTTTATTCTTGTACAATTAAAAAAGTGAAAACGTACATTTAATTACAACAAAGTTGGAAACTTTTTTACGTTCAGCTACAGTAACATATTTATACTGGCTGTAATTATTTGATTCCTTTAGTTAATTTCTGTTTAGTTCCATTGTACCAAGACGAGTTCGAGGAAAAAGTTTTGTTCTAAGGGTTGTCGGTAAATATATATAAATCAAAATCCCATTTTAAGTTAAATAAATGACTTGTTAATAAAAAAGTATGTTCACAGTTGCAAGATTCTTATAAAAACAGAGCTTGACGATATAGAGTTGTACCAATACTAAAACTTACTTCTCCTGAATTACCAGTTATCATGGAATATTTACAAGAATGTTCGAAAATAACAAATCGCACTTTTTAACGGTAAGTTCAATCAAAGTAGTGATCGACTATCCAAAATAATACACTTGTATGCTGATTATTTCAATGAATTGTTAATATACCAATGGTTTTAAGATTTTTTGTTTAAATTATTTTCAAATTCTTAAGCCAAAGTATAAGCTTGTCTTCTTGGTGCAAAATTTATTACTATTCATACTTCCATACCTTGTGCATACCCAATCGTTGTGAAACGATTTTAATATGCTAAAATCCAATGGCTTAATGAAGCTAAAATTACCAGATTTAGAATTTCTATGTATCGAGAAATAAGACGTAAGAAAAGTTAAGCGGTGATTGTCAGCAGGGTAACTTAAATACTTATTTGAGCGAATCTCCAGTACAAAATTTTTCGACTAGAATGCAACCAACTATAAGATCATGACCACGTGATTACTCAAAAATGACTAGTACGACCAATCAACTCATAAAATTGGCTTTGATACCTACCGAAAAAATTAGGTAAATAGTGGGCATAAAATTTATAGTCACATTTATGCTGACGTTAACAGCAAACCATCCGTCGCAACGCTTTTAAGAATGCACTGTCATAAGTTAATCAGATTTTAAAAATTAACGTCTGCAGTAGAGTCTCCAAACTTTCAGTGAGCTAGTACAGAGAGGTAAGTTGACTGATCGATCGGCTCGTTTCAGCAATCCGCGTGTTACTCACATAACTGCGAGTGGTTTTTAAAAGCTGGTGCAATGGCGGGGTGACAGATTGTACGACCAATTAGTTGATTTTGGTAATCCTTGCATTGCTTACGTGATTTTCGGTTGCAGTTGAAAAACTATGGACCACAGCAGCAGCCACGATTCTACAAAATGAGATAATTGAATAATAAAGCTGAACATCAGTGGAAAAGTCTCCATGTATCATTCGCGAGACCACAACAGCTTTCAGTGAGCTATTACAAAGAAGTGAATCATGCGGTCGATCAGTTTGTTTTGGCAACCCACGTGCCACCTACTAAACTGCTTGCATTTTTGGAAAGTTAACGCAATGGCATGGTAGTGGATCGTACGTAGGTGATAGTAGTAGACATCACTCTGTCGTCTATGTCTGGCCAAGAGGTAGCGCTACGCATGATACATCGTAGGTTGTACTGGTGAAATCGTAGCGGTGTATGTTCTCACATGTGGTAGCTGCTACCGGGACATAGTTTTATCAGTGCACAACTACACCCTGCCTCTATGATTCTACAGAATAGTTGAACGTTTGCTCCCAATTCATCGTAGAATTGTACCGTTGATCGAATTTTCCAAACATTCAAATTCATAAAATGTAATATTACATTGAAAAAAAAATAAAGTAATCGAATAATGAAGCTGAATGTTGATATAAACTAAAACTTGGAAACAAAATTCACAAACATAATTTTTCACTATTTAATTTTCATGAACACTAAGCGGAAATACGATTAGCAAAAAATCAGAATGCGTGAGAAAATTTTTTGATATCCATTTCGCAGAAAAAAAATGTAACTTTACACTGTATAAGAAATCAGTAACATTTGTGAAAAGGTGAGATTCTCTTTCTCGCTCTTTTATCAATATTGCAACATCAACTCGATCGTAATGCTTTTAAGAATGTGCTGACGTAAGATAATCTAATATTAAAACTTAAAGTTCGCTTCACTGGCAAATCGTTCGCTTAATCTGTTCATTTCAACGATCAATGCACCACTCACGTGACCATGAGCGTTTTTAAAAAGAGCTAGCAGAATGGTGTGGCGGCGCGCGGCAGGTCGCACGACCAATCAGTGTATTTTGGCAATCTGTGCATTTCTCACAAATACGTAAGTGCCTTCGGAGAGTTAGTGCAAAGATAATCCACGTGAAAAATGAAGAGGATTTTCTGCTCAAGTAAAAAACTGTAGCCCAAAGCAGCAGCCATGACTCTGTCATCTTTGTCTGGTTAAGAGGTAGTACTACGCATGATACATTATGCGTTCTACTGGTGGAGCCATATGCTCGCCGTAGGCTTAAATCACTTTTACAAAAAACGTGAGCAATCTCCACGCGTGGCGAAGTATGTGCAATTGATGAATCATAGTGGAGCGAGCATGTTCTTACACATATAGTAGCTTCTACATGGTAGTTTTTACCGAGTTATGATTTTGTTAGTGTCTTACTACGGAAGATATTTCTAGTTCTTCATTTTTGTATTACTATACATTTGTATGCTATCGTCATAAGCATGGTGAAAAAGTCCTGTATATTAAATTGATGTGAATTAAATTCTTTTATAGAAATATGTTATGTTATTTTACATGGGTCTTAATCCATGGGTCCACAATTCTAAATACGGACATGAAAAATACGTTTTTTAGAGTCTTCAACCAAATGAGTAAATACTGAGCCTTAAACGTGTTTGTGTCTGAACGCGTTTTTTCTTACTTTTCTTCTCCCCCTTCTTTTTGTCTATCTTCACACTGTAATTTTGGGTTTCTCCAGTCAACTTACAGAAGCACTCTTTCTCTCTCTCTCTACTCTGCCTCTACTACTTTCGTTCTCTTTCTTTTTCTGTCCCTCACTCTATCTCTTGCAATTTCTCTCTTTCTCTTTATGCAACAGGTTACTCTCTTTCACCCGTCGTGCTATCTTACGAACACTAACATGTTACGCTTTGGTTCTGTCCAAGCAGGCTTCTACACAGGTGTTAAAAGTTTGGTTTGATGGGTCAAAGTGCTGCAACAACTACTTACAATATTTAATTCTGATTAAGCGTTGCATCTTGCTATGAAATAGTGATCTTAATTATTTATTAATACTTCTTAATTTAACAGACTGAAATTTTTGCGTTCAAAAATAGATATTTTTTCTAAAAACAACAATTATAATAGTAATTATCATTGGAACTGTTCTAACTATTTAAGTAATAATAGTTGAATATAGTAGTTATAGGTACAATTTTTTTTTTTTACTTCTGGACAACATTGGCATCAGGAGTCGATTTCAGCCAAATAGGTACAATATTAAATGAGAGTGAATAAATAAATACATTTATTCATTCAAACAAAGATTAAATAATAAAATTATTTTTCAGACTCAAAATTGCAAGAGAAAAGTGAAAGTGATGATGAGGAAGATCTGTTCAAGGAACGTCTCAAAAATATGGGCAAAGGTAAGCATAAAAAGTTATTAACTCTAATCTATGTAAGCATTGTTGATAATTTAAGAATTAATTGATATTTTTTAGCATCCAAAAAAAAGTTTGCACAACTAACAAAAGTTTTTACTCGCAATAAAAAACGAGATGGGTTGCACTTACTGCCACCAAGTGCATCTTGCGATGATCTACTAAATACATCATAAGAGTCGTCGAGATCTCATCAATTAAAATTTTAATGGAAAAAATACGATGAAGCCAAAATTCTTATAAAAACGACAGCAGTGTAATTAGTTTAAATAAGTATGGAGAAGACTCCATGAAAAATTTTCTATTTTCATTAGGTCGGTCGGTGGGTTATCGAAAAATACATGAGACATGTATTTTTTTTTTTTCATATCAACAATATCTTATGTAGATAGAGCTTGTAAAAGTTTGAAATGACGTTACTTTGTAAAAAAAATAATATTTAATGCTTCCATCAATATTTATTTACGTGAAACGAAGAAAAACATTTTTGAAATCATTTGAAATTCTACCTGACAGACCTAAAAGATTTTTAAAGTATTTTTCCCTATATTATTGAATTTTAACTTTTGTATTAATCATCGATGTTTATTATCTCCCTGACTGAAATTAATTTTTATAAATATAACTACTTTGAGTTAAATAAAGAAAATAATCAACACATTTTTTTAATTGAAAATAATCATAACAGTATGAATATAATAGTAGAACTCGTGTTTTTTAAGCTACTTTTTGAGTATTTATCATTTTTGTCATTATTTTCCAACTCCGTTAGAAAACAAGTATTGTTGGAGTTGTTTTCAAAATCATAGGGATTCGTTTGTTTTGAATTGTATTATTAGATGATCTTACTCATATAATATTACCTTATAACCTGAGTAATGTATAACTAAATTTTAAATATCACAGATAATTTCGAAAAATCAGTTGTTGGCGGTATTTTCGATGTATATAACCTTTTTTTTAGTATCAAAACTTCTTAGACGGCAAAATTTTTATTTGTAGTTGTTAAAAACCTTGCTTGTTAAAAAATTTTTGCATACGCGGTGTTTGACAAGTTGAAATACAATACTAGTATCATCATATATATATATTTAAGAAATTTTTTTAATTTTTTCTTTTTTTGAAGTAACGTTTCTTCGTTAGGTTTTACGATAAATAGCTCAATTTAGGATTCGATAAATGAGGGGCACTTTTTTTTAATTTTATTTATGCAGGCATTTAAAAGATATATATAATGAAATATTGAATAAATACTTTACTAAATAAGAATCAACCCAAAAATAAAATTCTTTAACATGGTACTAATGACTTACTTGAAAAATTGATCTTGAAATGAGTAATACGATTTTTTGCACTCTGAGATGAATAAAATTAATCTTAGTTTTACATGCCATATTTTTTTTCTGAACAATTTTTCATGTATATATCAGGATGAAGTTTTTTTTAGGATTTAGAAATCATTATTTTAAGCTTGAATAAAGGGTAATCACAGGCTGTAATAATTTTTTGGACACCAAAATGCCCAAAAACAGCGTTTTTCGTGACTTATTTTTTTTTCTCGCATTTAAATAAACAAAAAAATCTGATAAACTTATGAGTACACTTTGGATTTAAATTATAATTTTGACTATGATATGGAAAGGAGAAATAAAATTTAATTTTTTTAACATGTAGAGCAGAAAAAGTAAAATTTTTGTGTTTTTTTGTATCTTTTCAATTGGGGCATAGCGAGATATATAAAAAAAACTCTTATTTTACCTTTAAACGAGTGTACATTTGGCAAATGTAGGTTTTTCATTTTTTCTATTTTCATATTAAATGATTCAAAGACTTGAGCCTAGGTTATTACAATTTGTTATTTTACATAATTTGTTCTCTGAAAAATGTTGGTGCAGCAGCACCCCTTATAATGCTTTTATTTACCCGTAAATATTGCTGTAGTAGCGGGATAGCTCTCGCAGCAGCCGCTGACGCACAATTAGTGAATTTGCTTTTTTTTTGTATAAAAATCGTAAACTTCGAGACAGGATAGAGATATCACTATAAATTCTTTTTCTCACAGATAGTTAGACTAGATATACAAGAAAACTATATTCAATCGCGTAATATTGTTATAAACAAGTAAAATCTATCACAATGTTGAAAAAATTACTAGAAAAAAAAATTCTTTATACAATTTACTTTGAATTCAATTTACTTAAAACTTCCACGCAGGAATTTTTGGGGTCGCTGATTACGAACATGAAGTTAGTTTTTGTGGATTCAAAATGGCCGATCAAATATGGTACGCAAAAATCGATAATTTTTGAACAATTTTATTTTAATTGTTCTGATTGTCACTGTTTCAGTTTCCTCTAATAATTTTAAGATAAGACTCGTAATTAATGAAGTTTCTGATTCAAAATGGGTAAAGAAATCATGAATTTTTAAATTTAAACAAAAAATTAGTTTTTTTCATTGAAAAAAGGACGTAATCGATTATTTTCACATGCTTTACAGTTAAAGGAAAAAAAATTTCTATATATTTTCATCGTGCGTATTGGTATGTCTTGATCAATGTACATAAAAAAGTAAAAAAGAAAAAATTTACATGACTTGATCAAAGAACATAAAACAAACTAATACAGAAAAAAATTTTAATTCGAACAACCATATACTTCAACTGCCACCACGCTAGTAGATTTTTATTGAAGGCCGTATTCATAAGCCAGTATGTGCTAGTAACGTAGCTGATCTAAGGCCAATAGGTCTGTGATTTTGAGTCCTTAGTCGAGATCCAGTAATCAAAAATATGCCAAAAATCGGAATTTTTCCATAGAATTCGATGCACTAAAATTAAAAGAACTGACATTATGGAGGCCAATAGAAAATGAAGGCCCAAGTTGGTAAAAAACTGGTTTTTTTTGTTCAAAAAGAAGGAAAAGTTTGTACTAAAAAAACTTTTATACTAAAGTCGTAGAAAAAATAATTACGGATTGCCAGGCTAGTTGGACCTCAAAGCATCAACAAACGAAGTATTTATGTGAAAACACCGTTAAAAACATCATTTTTTTTTAAATGCTTGTATCTCAGTGAAAAACTAATATGCTTTAACTAAATTTGGTGAAAGTGTAGCTCTTGGATTAAGAGAAAAGAAAAATTTTGCAAATTTTGAAAGTATTAAAAAGTTCTTGCTAAAATCGATTTTTTGTATAAAAAAGTCTATTTCTTGAAACCTGTATAGCTCATAGGCCCTTTGATTTTTGCAAGCGATTCGGGGCTTAAAATTTTTTATAAAAGTTGCTCTAACGTGTATCAGTATTAGGCGCTTTTTAAATTGACTGATAGTATGTCAACAATCAGCTAATACCATGTGATAGTTAGAATTTTTTAATGAATTAACAAAAAAAAATTTCATGTACGACCTTCTGGAGTCAATATAACTTTTTTTTGTTGAAATTTGTGTGGACGCATTATACGTCGTACAGCAATTAAGTTTTGACATATTTATGTTAAATACTTACATTTTCAATAAAAAATGTTCCAGCTTGACAAAAAATTAGTAACATTTAAAAAAACCATTAGGTATGAGTTGAGCTCAACGCTTGCATCGCGCAAACGTTTGCACTGAGTACGTAGGGGGGGAGACATTTCGGAGTTCTCGACTACTCCGCTTTGTGCTGCTTTTTCCGTCTGCTTACTTTTCAACCGTATTTGGTAGCGTTCACGTGTATTGTAATCCATATTTCGTATAATATTAGTCCAGTGTTTGTACATATATATTACATCAAATTGTGATACAACCTCTTGTTTGTTTAGACAAGAAAAAAATAAAATCTATAAAGTATTCGATAAACGATAGTTGCAGCCACCAAATTTCGAGGTTTTTTATGGATAAAACGCTTTACACACTTATATTGCTCGAGTCGGATGCGACATTATAACGTGTTTGTATTCTACCACAGAATATAAAGGTTTACTTAATGATTTAAGATTTCTTATGTTTAAGTAATCAACATGAAGGTCGTCATTCAAAAAATGTAAAAGCAAGGTCGGCTGTAAAAGCAAGATTTTTAGTCTCAAAAAGCATGGATTAAAATGTTCCGACATGTGCTTAACACGTAACATTGAAAGAGGCGCTTACATGGAACGAATTGCCATTGACGCAGATGATTTTGATGATGATATTGATGAAGTGATTCTCAATGAAACCGATATTGAAGAATCGGCTGTGGATAAAATTTGTAATGATATCGTCACCAGTAAAGCTGACTCGTCAATAATCGCTGAAAATAGCGAAGACAGTGGTAGTGACAATGAGGATGAGCAATCCATTAAAAAAAGAAGATTGTAATAATTTTTTGTTAAAAACTGTATAACATACTGTATGCGTGAGACAATATTGTACAATAAAATTATTATTTTTGTACTATACATATCGATTACTTACTATTTACCCGCACCATTTTACTGTATAAACGTGAAACTCATAGAATTTAAGTAGAAAATTCCTCTAATTTGAATAACTGCGTTTTTTTCCGGTTTCAAACAATATTTATATTACTCGACAGCTATTGCATTAATTTCAAGCCTACCTAAAAGTTTACCTTAAAGTTTGTACATGCACATAAAAAAAGATATATACGTTACGGCTGCTCTACGCAAAGTTAATGTTGTACACTACATGTATAGATGTAAACGTTTAAGGATAGTGAGTAGCTCTCACACGATTAACTTCGACAATTTTTATTTTCAATAAAATTATGCGCTGCAGGTGCAGTAAATTTTTTTATTGAAAGTATAAGTATTGAACTTAAATATTTCCAAACCTGATAGATGTGCAACGTATAATGCGTGAGGACGCATTTTTTAAACAAAAAAAAATTATCCTGACCCGAAAAAGTCGTACATGAAAATTTTTTTTTTCCAATTCATTAAAAAATACTAGCTATGAAATGATATTAGCGTCGATTCACAGAAAAAAGTTTTTTTTAGTGAAAAAACAGTGTTTTTCAATGCCAAAAAAAAAAACAAAAAAAAAAACGGTTTTTGGACCAATTTTTTTGCATATTACCGGTCAATTTAAAAAGCACGCAATACTGACACATGTGAGCCATACGTATTTCAAAAAATAGACTTTTTTTACAAAAAATCAGTTTTTGCAAAAACTTTTCAACATTTTCTAAATTTCCAAAAACTCCTTTCTCTCTTATGCCAAGAGCTACACTTTCACCTAATTTGGTTGAAAAATATAAATTTTTCAGTGGATTACAAACTTTTTAAAAAATGATATTTTTAACGGTTTTTTAAAAGAAATAATTTGTTTCTTGATACTTTAAAGTTCAGCTAGCATAGATCGATCCGTAATTAATGTTTCTACAACCTTTGTATAAAACTTTTTTCAATACAAGCCTTTCCTTTTTTTTTTTAACAAAAAAAAACAATTTTTTAACGAACTTGGGCTTAAATTTTCGATGGGCCGTAATTATGTTAATTTATTTTAATATTAGTGCATTGGATTCTATGGAAAATTTCCTTTTTTTTGCATTTTTTTGATTACTGGATTTTGGAAACTGAAATTAACATGGGGCTTGAAATAGAC